TTGACAATGTAAAAATGAATATAATACTTCTACTTAACATACAGCTATCGGAAATACCAAAAAGTCAATTTAATGCTGCTAGAGAAATCTTACCTTTTGGAATTCCCTTAACTTTTGGGTACAGGTTGGACCTCTCTAATCCAGCATTCTCTTTCTTGTCTGGCAACATCCGTGGTCCAGAATGATTTTAGTTAGCTGAATGTGTTCACTTATCCTGGGTGTGGCCAATTTTTCAATGGCCCTATAAAGTTTGTTTATAGCCACTAGTCTTGTCTCTCAGTGTTCTTGCTTTTATTGAGTTCTAATTTACTCCTAAATGTCTTCTAAAGAGCTCAGTAAGAAGCAGAAGTGTTGGTAATGCTATTAGTGAATACTGACCTCCTGTAGTTTGGCAAATTCTCTGGTTTAGCACCAGCCAGGTCTTGAGGGTGCTGAACTAGAGAGGTTCAACCTGTATTTGATCTCACAAATTAAGTTGTACAGCAGCTTGATTTTTCTTCAGGCAGTATACTTCAGAATACTAATCATTATTCTTTTTCTGAAATCCTGTTGGTATATTGTATTGCACGTTGCAGAAGAGCTCATTTAATTATGGAGTTTGCAACACCTGTGAATCCATTGTTTTCTTACATTTTCAAGTATTTATGTTGTGAAAACTGAAATAAAAGTTTTAATGTAGAAAGTATGTTGTGCACACTTTTGATTAACATAAGATTGGCTATCCTGGGTCAGAGCAAAGGTCCATTTAGCCTAGTATCCTGTCTTCGGACAATGGCCAATACCAGATGCACCAAAGGGAGTGAACAGAATAGGTAATCATCAAGTGATCCCTCTCCTGTCATACATTTCCAGCCTCTAACAAACAGAGGCTAGGGATACCATTCCTACCTATCCTGGCTAATAAATATGGATGGACCTAACCTCCATGAATTTATCTATTTCTCTTTGAACCCTATTAAAGTCCTGATCTTCACAGCATCCTGTGGCAAGGATTTCCACAGGCTAAGTGTGCACTGCGTGAAGAAAAACTTTCTTTTGTTTGTTTAAAACCTGCTACCTATTAATTTCATTTGATAACCCCTAGTTATTATGTTATAGAAACAATAACTTTTCCTTATTCACTCTCTCCATACCGGTCATGATTTTATAGACCTCTATCATAGCCCCCTTTAGACTGAAAGAAAGGAGCCTCAAATTGTAATGTTAAAGATCTCTAAATTTTAACTTGGTTAGTATTTCCTAAAAAAGTGTTGAATAAACCTTTGAAGCCATCAAGATACATTTATTATTTTCTAGTATTCTTAGATAATTTTCCTAATGATTAAAATGTTTCTCTTAACTAGTATGTATGTTCTTTACAAACCACTGTCTCATTTCTATTACTTGTGTCATATCTGACAACAGATCATAAACCAAGAATTCTTTTAAATAACCGACTCTCACTCAGGCATTAGCCATGGCAGCTACCTGCTGGGAGAAATAATGAAACTACTATTTTGCAATGAACCACATTTTACTGCCTATTCTTGACACTTAATGGTTGTTAAATGTCTGCAGGTTACTAGAAAATTGTGATCTTAAGTGTCTGGTGATCCAAACAGAAGACCTTTTTTGTTTGGCTGGTTGATTTTTTGTTTTGTTTTGCTTAAACCCTTTTGACTGAAGGAATCCTGGAGATGGGAAAAGAAAGATTCATTTACTAGTTTAGCAGCACTACATAAATTGTAACAGAATATCTCTTTTGAAAACCCCTAAAAGCTTCCAGTGTAACGTTAGACCAAGAATCATAATATTTATATTTATTATTTTACAAGTAAGTGGGAGGGAAAGCAGATGGGATCTTGAAATTTGAGTACAGAGCTCTATGTAGCCTTTTGCCTTAGGTAAAAATCAAAGAAGAATCAGGCAGAATTGATGTACTTAAGTGAATCAGCATGGAGAAGCCTGCACTGCACCCACCTGCCTGGCACCTGGTCAATGCATAAACAGAGGACAATCCAGCATCCTGCAGTTTCACAGGGATACAATTAATCACAACATCAAAGGAAGTACAACGCTTACTGCACAATGCTTACAAACTGAAGCAAAAGACCAACAGGAACCATAGCCCTTACCGATGAGAGGGAGCTCCTCCATGGTAATGCCCTGAGATTTGAGGTGCTTCTTGATGCAGGCCAGTCGCTGTACGTTGGGTCCCCAGCGCCTGCTGAGCTTGTGTATGTGCTGAATCTGTGTCACAAACCGCATTTCATCATTCAGCTTGCACTCAGGCCTCCAGTCTGCAGGAGGGATCACCCTACACATCCCATACTTCTCTACCTGAGCTCGGACTGACTCAATGTATATCAATGGGTCATGGAACTCCTTCGCGGAGGGCCGAAGGATGGGAATCTCATCCATCATTGCCCACCCAGACTTGCTGCTGCTGCTGCTGTTGTTGCTGCTGCTGCTGCTACTACTACTACTGCTACTACTATTACAACTACTACTACCCTTTTCGTGCTTTCCTGTTGAGTCATGTGGCTTGTGCAAGGACTCTGTTTGAGAGGTAGAATGATTTTCACAGGAGGCATTTTCAGTTTTGCCGTGTGCTTGTTTCCCTGGCGTATTCTTTCCAGCAGTGGCTCTTTTCGGCCTATTTCTTTCCAGAATCTTCTCTGGCACTTCCTTTTTCACATGTCCATTCAGCAAAGGCTTTTCCACAGCTGCCTTTTTGCTTGCACCTTCCGTCAAGCTGACCGCCCCTTTCATTTTCTTGGTGGGTGACTGTGTTTTGTCTATATGATTAGTCTCTTCCAGCCTCCTCTTAGAATTGCGCAGCCCCTCCCTTAACTGTCTCCCCACCTCCTTAGTGCATGCCTTTTGGTTCAACTTGCCATTGACCTTGACACCATTAACAGCAATATTGTTAGACTTGGACGCTCCAAGGGATAGCACCTGTTTGCGGGTTTTTGCATTGCTACTTTCTGTTTTCCCTGAGATTGTATGGTTAACAGGTGAACTGGGTTTGTGGTGATTTAGTTTGGTTTCCTTAACCAGTTCTTTCTTGGCTTTGGTGTATGTGACGGTTCCCTTTGTCACTGTTGCAGTGTACTTCACAGTTTTGGATGGTGAAGGTCTGACTTCTCTCATCTTTTTGGCACTGGCTGCATTTGCACCTGGAGATGACATTCGAGTGATTCCGTTGACCTTAGAAACCTGGGAAGCCGGAAGTGTTGTAGAGGAAGCAGAAGGAAGAAAATAGAAAACAGAAAAAGTAAATTAATAAAAGTTTTTGAATAGAGACACACACAAAGAACCAAATCATGCAGTCCTGACTCCTAAGCAAGGCTGCAGGATATGGTCCCCTGAGGGCAATCTCCATATCATGGGTTTCACCCAAAGAGCAGGATCTGGACACTTTTTAAAATAAAGCCAGAACTGAAAACAAATAGTCAAGTCTGCTCTCATGGAGTATAAGACAGGTGCCTTTGCCCTAAGGAGAGGGTCACCCAGCTCATGCAGCTCTAGTTAAGAACGTTACTCCATTTCTTATCTACCCTCAAGTCCCTGACAGCATCATGAAGACAGATGCTTGAGTTTGTAACAAAAAAAGAATTAACCACTGTATTGTATCTACTATACCTAGTGAGACGGACATGGCTGATTAATCTCACTGGAAGGTGCACAGAATACCCACCCAACTCCCCTCTTCACTGACCTGAGATTTATAAATCTACAAATCTCATATTTATTGTCTATCTATGTATCTGAAACCCTTTATATACCCGACAGTTCAGGATGGCCATGAAGGATCCAGTCTACCATGTATACTGAGTTCTTGGAGGCACTCTATTAAAATTGTTGATACAGATTACAAGTTTGTACAGTAGTTCTGAGATGCAAAGATACTTTTTTTGAGTTTTATATCTGGGCAGTTTTACTTCTATACAGGATATTTAATTGCATCATATTATCCAACTCAAGTGCTTTAAGTTGTGCATTTACACCCAGTTAGGAAATTAAAAATAACAGCTTAAACAGCAGCAATCATTGGCTTCTAATGGGAAAAAAAACCCTTTTCCAAAGTACCCATACTCCAGAAAAAAATGAGGTGTACAGTTCTTTCAAAAAAGGGGTTTTTCCCCCCCGAAAGAACCCCTTCTAGACTGCGGTCTCTTTTTCGAAAAACCCTTTTTGAAAAAGCACTCTCGCGCAATTATGCAAATGAAGCATGAGATTTGTAAATCTGCTCTTCATTTGCGTTTTCAATAGGGCTCATTTATATTCCTCTTTTGGAAGAGGAATGTAGATTAGACATAGCCTATCGTGTACTTCTTCCAAGGATTTCTAAACTATTTTTAAATATTTAAACTTTATAATTCTTCTGTAATAAAGACAAGTACTATCTCTACTTGACTACTGAATATACAGAGACACAGAAAAGGTTAAGTGAACTGCTGTGGTCACAATGAAATAAGAGAAACCTAGGAGTTTTGATTCCCATTCCGCTGCTCTAGCCTCTCTAACATAAGCCTCTCTCTTAGTTATGTCCCTTGGATTGTACTGTATATACAGTAAACTTCCGATAATCCGACACCTTTAGGACCCAGGGGGTGCCGGATTATCAGATATGCCGGACTATCAGAAGGGGGGGCTAGGAGGGGTCTGGAGTGGGGTGGGAGGGGATGCCACGCCAGACCCCTCATAGCCCCCCCCCCCCTTACGATAGTCTGGCTCTGCCCCAGGCGTCTGGATTCAGCCTGCTGGTGAAACTGACGCTGCTGGTCAGTTTCAGCAGCAGCTGAATCGGGGATGCCTACAATAGAGCAGCTGGGGGGCTGCCGGGGTGGTCCCGCAGCACCGTCCTTTGGCGCTGCGGGACCAACCCGGCAGCCCCCCAGCTGCTCTATTGTAGGCATCCCCGATTCAGCTGCTCGTCAGTTTCAGCAGCAGCTGAATCGGGGATGCCTACAATAGAGCAGCTGGGGGGCTGCCGGGGTGGTCCCGCAGCACCGTCCTTTGGCGCTGCGGGACCAACCCGGCAGCCCCCCAGCTGCTCTATTGTAGGCATCCCCGATTCAGCTGCTCGTCAGTTTCAGCAGCAGCTGAATCGGGGATGCCTACAATAGAGCAGCTGGGGGGCTGCCGGGGTGGTCCCGCAGCACCGTCCTTTGGCGCTGCGGGACCAACCCGGCAGCCCCCCAGCTGCTCTATTGTAGGCATCCCCGATTCAGCTGCTCGTCAGTTTCAGCAGCAGCTGAATCGGGGATGCCTACAATAGAGCAGCTGGGGGGCTGCCGGGGTGGTCCCGCAGCACCGTCCTTTGGCGCTGCGGGACCAACCCGGCAGCCCCCCAGCTGCTCTATTGTAGGCATCCCCGATTCAGCTGCTCGTCAGTTTCAGCAGCAGCTAAATGGGGGAAGCCTGTCCAGCTGCCCCAGCACTTCTGGGTTCCTGATGGTGCCGGACCATCAGGAGTCCCGGAGCATTGGATGCCGGACTAATGGAGTTTTACTGTACGTGCGCGCACTCACACTCACACTCCACAGTTTCCCTACTGTTCTCCAGAGTCTGGAGCTGGAATGGTGCCCTTTTAAAACCTGCTGGGATTCTCTTCTTCACATGGCCCCAGCAATTAGAGAAACCAAACACCAGCCTCTTCTATGGAAAACCCACTTACCTAATGGTTTCAGGCTTCTCTGTGAGCATTCTACATAAATGGGGGTTTATACTATGTATAAAAACTAACCCCTTACAATTAAACATGCATTTGCAAGCCTGCCCTGTGACCTGGGAAGTGCTGAAAGTGAATCCTGGGTACAATTCTTTTCTCACTCTCTGGAGCAGCTGTGGCTGGGAGAGCTTCCAAGGCACCCCTGATGGTCAGGATGTACCTCAAGTGTCTCTTTTAGCTTTATAAACAGTAGCATCTCCAAAGAAAATCCTAGGCAATCATTTAGGAGGGCAGCCGAGACATGTAGTCTCAGAAAAACATATGGAAGGAGAATGGACGGGCCCTGACAACTTTGATAAGCCATCCCCCTTCCCTGGGGTACAAAACCCTTGAACCCCTTTGTGAGTTTTAGGCCAGAATTAAAACTACCAAGATATAAATCCCTGGAAATTTGTGTTTACCATGAAAACTGAAATGTTCTGTAACCAGTTAGTGCCATTATAATACCTCAGCATAGCAAAAGCATAGATCTGTCAGAGCCAGCTATGAAGCTGAGGAGATTCATACACCTAATGCTATCTAACCTTCCACCTTACATCTGTGCACAACACTTTAAATCCCGCTTCACCCAACAAAGTTATTTCAAAGAGGATTCAGGCTGCTTTTAATATACCAGTGTCTTCTACATTTGAAAATGCATATATCTTCTAGATTCCCCAGCACTAAGCCAACCCTATGAAACTAAAGAGAACTTCCTCTAAACTGTCACCTTTTTACATTAGCTACAATTTTATGGTTCTGAGATGCTTCATTTACTCTTTTGTCCTCCCTCCCAAGAAGCTCACAGCTCCCTCCCGTGTGAAGAAAAGCCATGCACTGTGTGTATGTACATACAGAAATATTTATGGACCAGAACAGACCACACTTTAAACTGTATTAGGCTGCAACAAGCTTCTTTCAAGTGGGAACACATGGAACAAAGAACGTGGTCATGGTCATCAACAGAGTGTTTGGTGGATTCAGGATTTCACACAGGCAGATGTGAAATTCTGTCCAGCTAGCACCCACCTAAACTTCCTTTGCCTGTATTTGTCTCTCAGGATCCAACAGATGATTGGTACCAAAGAAAACAAAATAATTGTGGTAGGCGTTTTCTTACCTTTCTACAGGTGACATGTCTCCCCCCAATAACCGCCAAATCAAAAATACACACACTGAGAGTCAGCCTAATAAATTGACCGCGCTCCCAGCTGCTCAGGTTCACCATATGAGGTCTAGTGACACAGCTCCGTCCCGAGGCAGTGCTTACACTGAGCACATAAGAAAGAAGTCAATTTAATTCAGATAGTAACAAAGTGATTGACATTAGCCTTCATCACTCGTTAAAAGTTTTGTGCTTACAGTGAAACCAGGCATACCAATATACTTGTCTCTAGTTTTCAGCTACCTTCTAAGTTTTATTTGAGATCGATATAATTATTCCTCACACCATTCTTGTTCACAGTACTGACAAAGAACTCTCCTACCACATGAAATTTTGTTAGCTCTTTTAATGTTTAACTGTACAGGGCCATCACACAGTCTTGCAGCAATATCATTTAGTTATCAGAGGAGCCATCAATGGATGCAGAATCCTGAAGGATTCCACAGGGCCCCTCTCAAAAAAAATAAATAAAAGAGCAAAGAGTTCAGGATTCCACAGGGCCTCTCTTAAAAAAAATAAATAAAAGAGCAAAGAGTGTAAGTATTCCTTCAAGACTGTTTGTTAGATTTCCATTAATATTTTTCACACACACACACACACACTTAAAAAAGTGTTAGAATCTCCCTCACACCCACACTCTCTTAAAAAAAGCTTATTATAATCTCTCGCTCTCTCACACACACACACACACACACACAAAAAAGTGTTAGAATCTCCCTCACACCCACACTCTCTTAAAAAAAGCTTACTATAATCTCTCGCTCACACACACACACACACACACACACACACGCTCTTAAAAAAGCTTATTAGAAAAAATTTTAATTGTGTGAATTCCATAACATGTCAAGCTTTATTATTTGTTTATGCATTTATTACCACTGGCAGAGTTGAAGTCTTGCTGAGCTAACTTACCCTATTAGACCAACAGAGGGCCCTATTAAACTACATGTCTTCTCCCCACAATTTCTTTTGAGTTGGGGGAGGAGGAGGAGGTTGGGGGAAGACAACAAGGCAGTGAGAGTTCAACTGAACATCAGAGAAAGAGAGAGAGAGAGAAAGAGAAACATCTGTGTGCCTATAATGCTCTCTACCTTTGTTTCTTAGAGGACAACTAACCCTATCACAAACCTCCGCTGTCACCACCAGCAAAACCATGCTGAAAATAGAATGGCCCTGTGACTGGCACCTAATGAACCAACTCTCCTCTTTTTTTTTTTCGGCAAAACACTAGAGAATTCAACCAAGATTCATCAGAAGCAGAAATTTAATGCTGTCCCTGCTAACTGGCAAGGTCAATGTTTTGCAAGAGGCCCAATCACTGTATATGCTATACAGAATAACCAGCTCTATTACAATAGCTCACTTAGGGTACGTCTAGACTACATGCCTCTGGTGACAGAGGCATGTAGATTAGGGTACCGGACATAGTAAAATGAAGCGGCGATTTAAATAATCGCCGCTTCATTTAAATTTACATGGCTGCCGCGCTGAGCTGAAAAACAAAGAGCTGATCAGCTGTTTGTCGGCTCAGCGCGGCAGCCATGTAAATTTAAATAAAGTGGCGATTATTTAAATCGCCGCTTCATTTTCCTATGTCCGGTACCCTAATCTACATGCCTCTGTCACCAGAGGCATGTAGTCTAGACGTACCCAAAGTAACAGTTAAGTTGCCAACATTCATAAAAACAGGGAGCCAAGTGTTTTCTAATTTTAGGATGTGGAATGAAAATTAAGGTTTTTTTTATTTATTTAATTTTAAACTCACAAAAACCCCTCAACTTTGAGCCACTTGTGTTTTCTTGAATTTTAATGTAATCACTATATTTGAGGCAGTTTACATTATGTTTGCATAGCACTATGAACATTGGAGGAATAAATTATTTTTAGCATGTGTGTCTTCCTTATTTAGCATGACAAAGTGTCTATTATTTTGAATGCATACAACTACTCAGTTCAAATAAAAATATACTGAATACTGGAGGAAGTTATTTCTCATAGTAGTATAGGACACATTTGTATTTCACTTTTTACTGTCTGTGTACATTGTGTGCTGTTTGGCAATCTCAGAATCAGAGTTACTTTCCTCGGTAATAATAGTGTACTTTAGGAATGACACTGATGCTACTGTTAATTTTGTTTTATACTGCAGTTTAAAGTATTTCACCATTATCTATGTCAAAATCCCTATTGTGGTTAAAATCATATTGGGTCAATCATATTGGGCTCAAACTCTGCACTATAAAAATCTGATTTTAGTTACAATTATTGTGGTTCAAAACAAATGCTATTCATATAATATAAAAAGTTTACTATAATGAAATTAAAGAATACGAATTAGATGTTTGTACTGTACAAAGATTAAATAGTATGTCAGTATGCATCTGGTTCGTATTGCTATTATCAAGTTTTGATAATAAGTGTAAATATGCGAAGTGTTCATTCAGAACAAGTAAAAATCAAACCTTAAAAATAGAAATATGTATCATATGCAGGACATTGAGAGCAACTTGTAGCTTTTATTACTTGTATATATCATTAGATATTCATAATGCTAGCAGAAAGATAACGACTAAGCCTGCCCCCAAAGAATTTATTAGCTAAATTAATGTAAAAATAAGAGACCATGGCAGCAGAGACGTGGTGTATGTGTGTAGGGAGGGCGGTATGAGTAGGAAGAGGAGGGAAACACAAAATGATCATACAACTGGTTTGCAGCCTAGCTCAAATATCTAAAGGGTTACAAAGGCAGATGGAGTCATAGACACACAATTTATGCCTCAAAGCAATAAGCTTTGAAAGGAACATAGGTGTCTGAGTACAGAGAGGTAATAGATAGCTACACGGAAGAAGGCAAAGGAAGAAGAGGGCATTCAGTCAAGAAGCACTTGATGAGCTAAAACATGTAAGGGGAGGTGGTGAGGAACAGGAGCAGAGCTAGAAGGGACATACATTGTGAAGAGCCTCGAAAGCAATAATGGGGAATCTGAATTTGATTCAGGAGGCAATAGGGAACTGGTTGAGCTATTTTAAGAGGCACTGGAACATAGCATTTCGCCAAGAAGGTATTTTCTTGGCACAGATACCAGAAACAATAGAAGGCAAAACACTAATAGCCCAATCTAGCAGGTGCCCATCCAAGGTCTCAGGGCCATGCAAGACCCAGATTGTAGCTCTACAGGAGACCAGTCTAACCAGCGGAATAAACCTGGAAACACCAACAAACATACTTTGTCCCTGAAATGGGGAACCCATAGAGAAAAAAGAAACTAAGCCGTAGGAGCTGCAAATTCTTTGTGCTTCACAACTCTCAGCCCATGCTCTACCTTCAGCAGTCCTTAAGACTAGGAACGTAAAATCCCATTTAATGGGTTAACCAGTTAAACATATTGTTTAACCAGTTAACTGATTAAAAGGGGTGGCAGGCGCCACTCGGAACAGGTCTCCTTCCCCCACCGTTCCCCCCCCACCCCCCCCACGAGCGC